GACTTGATGTGTAGTATATAAGAAGTTTGGGTGTCTCTCCAGGTTTCTGAAGGTACCAACTGAGAGAACTACCAATATTTGAACTTCCTGTGGCGCTGATGGTCACAGTCCCACCAAGACTGACAGACTTGACTTCATCAGTCTGAGTCAGAAAATTATTGGCAAATGACTCTGAAATGAAAAAAAAACATTTTAAAATGTATTTTTATTCACCAAAAACTTCAGAATGAATGTACTCATAAAACGAGCTGAATAAATTTCACCAAACAACATTCTCCTGAAATATTATTTCCTTTTTGAATCTCTCACCCTGACTCAGAAAGCCTAACAAAAGAATCACCAACATTGGAAACACCATCCTGACTCAGTTTTCAGTGGAAGTGCAGGAGCGCATGTGTGACAGCAGAACTTAAACTGTGAGGAGCAGTGATGCATGAAAGTGTGCAAAACCCACTGTAGGAGGAAACCACCCACCTCTTCCAATGAAACAGAAAACACAGAGGTCATGTGAGGAGAGGATCATGCAACTTTTTCATTATATTTGTCTCACTAACAGATGCATGGTTCCCCTACTGTCATACATCTGACACTAAAGACCCTGATTGATTTTGATTATTCTGACAAACTAACTTTATTTTGAAAAAAAGAAATATATGAATAATGGTTTAAAGGAATGAATAACAAGCTGGTCTAACATTACTCAATTCTCTAAATAGTTTAGTCCTGTACAGCTCTCTAAAACCCTGAGAAAGGGGGTTTATGCTCCATAGTAAAAGCCATAACTCAGGTATTTGATATTTTGAACCATGTACAGATGAACTGTATCTTTTCTCAAAAAAATAAATAAATAAAAAACTTGACTTGTCCTCTAATTTCCTCCACACATCTATTTTTTTCTCAGGCTGTATTGCCATTACTTTGATGACCCCAAATTTTACTGAGAAAGAATGAGTAACATAATTTTATATTTTTTATATTTTTTATAACACACTCTTCAGTTTCAGATGCATTTTGAATTCCTGAAAATAACTCCATTATTTTTTTTTTGCTCAACCCTCACAGAGCTGTTTGATTGTAAACTCATCTGATAATAATTATTGAAGCTGAAAAAGACCAAATCCTCAGACTGTGAGGTAAAACGTGTTTTTCTTTAACATACTAACTACTAATTTAACAGGTTGTGCATGTTTAATCAGGTCAGGTCTCTGTCTATGGTATGAAATTAATCTAATCCAAAACAAAGAAAAAAAATCAGTATTCTGGAGTGCTGTCTCTAATCTCCTGCAAGAGATCATCGCTGCAGCACATCAATCCCTAACCAGTTTAATTTGATATTAGTATAACTATACCAATATCATTGTTCTCACACATATGTTTCAACACAGTAGTAATCTAGATCTTCAGCCTGAACTTCACTGATTGTTAAGTGTTAATTCAAGTATAGATCTGATTCTGCTGAAACAACAAACAAACCAAACCGACACTAACTTATTTCATCAGTACTGAGTTGAGGTAATTACAGATTTCTGTGCTGGCTGTGCAGCTCAGAGAAACGGGCTTATACACTTATAGACAGCTGTCCACCCAGCAAAATATTAAAAACTGTCATTTTACAGAAGGACAAATATTTCTGTATCATACTGAAACTATAGAAAACTATTTTGCATCCAGGGTGCACAACAGATATTCAAATTAATGCATGGGTCAGTGAGCACACACCTGCACCACTGGAGTCCGGGTGGATATTTTACATTGCTGCTGTACAAATAGTGCCCTCTTATGTCAAAATAAGAGAATACATATAAAATTGTCTGTGATATATGGATCCAAAAAGCAGACTGGACATCGAATCAGGGCACCTTTTTTCCCTTCGGATCAATTTTAATTTTAAAAAACTTAATTTCTTTTTGTACATGTTTTGTCTGTCTATGTCTCGCTTGTCATTTTGTGCCTTTTGCATTCGATGTATTTCTTTATAGTGTGGTTGTATAATTTGGCTTGTTTGGTTA